TCTCTCTCTCTCTCTCTCTTGTCATTAATTCCACAAGCCCCTACTGCCGGCCCGGGAGCCATCGTGAGCGAGGGGTTGAATTCACAGAATTAGTTAATTAGTTGAGCACCTCCAGGTGGGCCAATTTGCAAGTCGCATCGTTGCCACCTGTTGTTGTTGTTTTCTGCAATTCCGGCTAGGAATGGTCGCTAGCGCTGGGTTGACGTTGAGGAAGTTAGCTTGCAAGTTCCACATCAGGGAGACGCCAGGCCCCCCCAATCCCCATTCCGAAATCCTGACCCCTTTCCGAGTTCCATGTGTGAGGTGATTGGGGCGACGAACCACGGCTCTGTCTTCATGAAGATCGGGGGTATCGAGCCCACAGGCCGAATGGGGGAAGCTCCGAAGCTCGGGCACTTCAAAGGGTCGACGGGTGTAGGCTTTAGGAACTTAAGGCCTTTAGAGGATGATCCCATGGTCGCAGCTGTCAGGGAAAAAGTAGCAGAAGCGTTGGGGAGCGGCAGGAAAGATAATAGAGTGGCAAGGGGAGGAGAAAGACTGGTAGCAACAATACTGGCAGGGAAACCCACAGGGTGATCCTGAAGTCAGAGCAACGGTAGTTGCAATACTGCTGACAACACTACGTTCCACGTTGCACACCCAACACCTGTGCTTCCCCAAGCGACAGGTGAGTGGATCGCGCCGTACAAGCGTCATTCGGCCGGGGACCTTGGCACGTCACATGGGACTACTCGAGTCTAGCAGGGCTGTTAAGAATCATCACCGTGCGTTCCTATCAGACGGAGTTCTCAACGGTTGGAGCTCTGTGCCCGGTGGCTGTTGGCAGGATTTCCTCCCGCTACTGTAGCTTTTGCGGTGAGTATTGATTCACAACATGACTAGCAGCTGTGATCACGGCTGCTGCCGCTGCTGCTGCTACTNNACCACCACGACTGCTGCTGCTGCTGCTGCTACTACTACTACTACTACTACTAGTAATGATATAGTAATAGTAGCAATACTAATAATACAAAATAAAAACAGTAGTAGTAGTAGTAGTAGTAGTAGCAGTAGTAGCAGTAGTAGTAGTAGTAGTAGTAGTAGTAGTAGTAATGATAATAATAATCAACATCATCATAATCATAATAATCATAACAACAACAACAACAATCATAGTCAGCACAAAAACTAATAGTAGTTATCAAAGTAGTACTAAAGCAATGCTCGCGTGGCATCCTGCAGTGCAGACCCAAGCGCTGCCTCGAGAAATCCTAAGCTAAGCGGCCAGGAACGCCGCAGAAGCCCGCAAGGTAGGGTTTAAGATTTAGGGTTTAGGGTTCAGGATTTAGTGTTTCGGATTTTGGGCCGAGACCCTCCACCCTGTACCCATCGAGTTCTTTGGTAGGGCCTTGGGTTCATCAAACCTGGGCCGCGACAGCGGAGGTCATGATCCACTCCAACTACGCTTGGCATCCACAGGATGGCCTCTGGGACCGAGATTTAGTTGAAGCTGAAAATATCAGTTTAGATATAAGGGTTCTAACTTTTGGGTTTAGGGCCTTTAGCATTGTTTTCCGTAGCTTTAAGAGTTCAGCGTTTAGGCTTCATAGTTTAGGGCTGTGGGTGTATGCAAATATAATAGTGGGACTGGTCACCGGGGGTTCACGCTCTGCTGTGGAGCCCCTCCAACAGGACAACATCAACAACAGCAGCAGCAGCAACAGCAATCAAAACTACAAGTGCAACTACCGGGACGAGGACGCCGCCGACGACGACTGCTACTACTGCCGCGTCTTCTTCCTTTTTCTTATTACTGCCCCTACTCCTGCTGCTGCTGCTGCTGCTACTACTACTACTACCACTACGACTACTACTGCTACTACTACCACTGCTACTACTACTCCAACTCCAACTCCAACTCCTACTCCTACTCCTACTCCTACTCCTACTCCTACTCCTACTCCCTCCTACTCCCTCCTACTCCTACTCCTACTACTCCCACTACTCCTACTACTGCTACTGCGACTGCTACTTTCGTAGCTGCAACTGGTACATCTTGCCGAGGCTTTCTGGTGGTCATGAAGTACAACCATGTGCCTTGGGGTCCATCCATCTGGCCGGCATTCTGGCTGATGAACAGCGACAAGGTGTGGCACCTCATCTGATCTTGGAGCCATCAGATGAAAGGGTGGCCAAGGGCCGTTTCGAGTTTCTGTTGACGGACGGTCATGGGCTCAAAAAGGAGGTTGAACGTATTGTAGACACTGCAGTGGAGAGAGTCTTCTGAAGCGCTTGGAAATGGGTCATTTAGGGTGGGGAGCCATCCAGAGCCCCTTATGCCAGGAGCAGCTCACCATATTAAGGTTTGTGCATGTTTTTTCTGGTGACTTTGATGTCTTCTTCCATCTCCCAAGCGTCAAACGAGGCCTGATGGTGGAGAGTTCGATATCATGGAGTTCGCGAACGATGAGGCTCGAGATCGTCTCCCCAAACTCCAAGTACGCTTTGGGCTGACCAGGGAGAGCCCGCAGCGTCATGGTTTGGAGAGGCCTCATGTACACGGCTGGGGCGGGGGGGCGGGGGCGGGGGCGGGGGGCGGGGGCGGGGTGCAAGAGTCGGTTTTCATTCGACGGCGCGGCGCAGGAGCGTGATGCCAGGCACAGCTTCTCAACTGTAGGGGCTCAGTGAAGTCTGAAAGTGTCCCACAACAGCGTTGTTTTGGGTTTTCGAAAAGTTTCTGACAGCATCCAAGTCATGATGCGGAAGGTCGCTTTTTCGTAAGTTGCAGCTCAAGCAAAGACGGCCGCCTCAGCATCTCCCTTCCCCGCTTTCGACATGGGACCCCACATGACCTTCGCATCATTGCTCGCGGCCGTGGTCTCTGCACAAAACATCACAAGCATCGTCACCTCCCTGCGAGATCCCGTCTACCTCAACGGAGCCACTGGCATTGCCATCTCGGGGGATCATGCCTATGTGACCGCAGAGTACGACGCTGGGATCACCATTCTCAACATCGCTGATCCCAGCAACCCCAGCCTTGTGGGCAGCATCGCAGATCCTCAGCTGAGTAGTGCCGTGGGCATCGCCATCTCTGGGGACAAAGCTTTCGTGAGCTCATTCTTAACCGGCTTGTCAGTTGTTGACATCGCTGACCGTGGCAACCCAACAATCACAAGCTCCCTTTACAACGGCACTCTACTCCATGGAGCTTTTGATGTCAAAGTCGTGGGAGACTACGCATACGTGTCGGCAAGTTTCAGCAACTGCTTCACGGTGATCGACATCAGCGATGTTAGCAACCTCAGAATCGCAGGCTGGATCAAGGACGCAACGGTACTTGGCTATGTCAGAGGCATGGACGTTGTTGGCGGCTACGCTTACGTGACCGTACAGGACTTTGACCGCCTGGCCGTGATCAACATCACCGATCCCCGGAACCCTGCCGTCGCAGGAGTCTTGCAGTCTCCTTTGCTTGAAGCAGCGACGGATGTGGCCGTGGTTGGGAACTTCGCCTATGTGAGCGCGGTGAGATGGGGGTCCACCCCGGGCATCACTGTTGTCAACATCGCGGACCCAAGCAACCTCACAATTGAGTCCGCGATCTTCGATTCGGACTTGTTTTGCACCATCTCGGGCATCTCCGTCGCTGGGGGCTATGCGTATGCAGTGGGGTGCCAGAATAAAATCGCGGTGGTCGACATTACTAACCAAACCTCTCCCTCCATCT